GGATCCTCGGCCTCGACAGAGCCGCCTCTGCCATCGCCGCCGGTAGCCATGGACCTGCGAGCCGAGCTGCTGAAGTCCATCTGGTACGCCTTCACCGCCCTGGATGTGGAGAAGAGCGGCAAGGTCTCCAAATCCCAGCTCAAAGTGAGTCCTCGGGGACGGGGAGCTTGGACGGCCCCGGCGTGGGGCTTGGCGGGTGGGCTGCGAGGGGCAGAGCGGGTCCAGGTTTGCTTTGCATCCCTCCCCTGGCTTCCCACGGAGGAATTGTTAAATATTAAGATTAATAAGACGTTGCTGTTGCCTTTACACTGGTTTTGGTGACGTTCTCTGGCTCTGCCTCGTCTCGCTTTAAAAAAAAAGAAAGAAAAAGGTGGGGGGAGTGAATGCTCAAATGTATTTTCTAGGTGAAAATGAGAAGAAATCTAATTTTTAGTTGTTTTCAGTTTCTTATGCTTTTTATGGCCAACTAACAGCCCAAACTCGGTTTATATTATTTTGCTTGCTGGGGCACCCACGTTTCTGCTTCCTGTTCAGCCAGCGGGTCGGTAGGTACAGGCAGAGCATTTTTAAACTAAAACTCCTTGATGATCTGGCCAGAAATAACACAGCGCTTTTAAAAAGTCTCTGAATTCCCCTCTCCCCCACTCCCTCAGCAGCTTTGCAGAGCGCTCCTGCATTCAGCCCTTCATCAAAACCGTCGTGGCTTTAAAAACCTTTTTGTCTCCCTTTGGGTCGGGGTTTGGTTGAATCCACCAGGTTGCACTTTGGCTTCGACAATAATTGTTGATTTTTTTAGTTTATTTTTTTTCCCTTTGCATGTGATGGGAGTCCTTTTTTGTTGCCGTGTAAGTGTCCCGTTGTGGTTCTTAGGCTGGCAACGGGCTTGGAAATGCCGGTTGGAGCAGGGGGCTGCGATGCAGAGGAAAGACCTGAGCTAGAAACACGCAAAATGCAGAGAGATGTTGCGTCAGGACTTGGCAGCTGCTGCCAGCCTGCGAGATGAATTGTGAAACGCTGCAAAGAAACCTCTTTTCTTCAATTCCCTCTATTTTATAGGGCTTTCCCCGGGACAGACTGCAGGGAAGGTGCTGGGCTTGGCAACGGGAGGGATATTTTGTTCAAAAATTAAGGGTTTTGTTTGCAGGGGTCTAGAGGAGAGGCAGTGGGATCCAGGTGCCTCCTGCTCAGCCGCTGCCTTTGCAGCCGACAGCTTTCGGCTGCTCCCCAGAAACTCACTGTATGTGTGTCCTGCGAGCCACGCTCGCCTGCTTAACACTGTAGAAATATCTGAAGGAATTAAGGAAAATCCCAAAGTAGGCCAGAGCTTAATTCCCTTTGCTAATCCCCGAGAAGGGCTGCTGTGCTCCCCTCACAGCATCCCCTGCACCCGGGCTTTGGGTCCTGAGCCCAGCCCAGGCACGCTGCCGGCCCCGAAAGCACCGGCATGAACACGTGCAGCGCTTGTCTTGCGATTTCTTTATTGCCAGCGACGATGCCGAGGCTGCAGAGACCCTAATTTTAACGGCAATTTCCTAGAGAGTTAGTGCAGGGGGGCTGGGGGAGTTGCAAACCCTCGTGCTGGGGCTGCGGGGATGCTGGGGACGGTGTCTCCGCAGCGGCTTTGCCCAGGGTGACATTTCAGAGGGGAAGGAAGATTTTTTTCTCGCCGTTTTTCCACCCGCCTTCATCACCAAGACAGGACTGCGGCGGGTCGGGCTGCGCCGTTGCACGACGAAGCTCAACTCTGGATAATTTTCCACTGTTCTCGAGGCTGGGGAGAGCTCGTTGCCATTCCCCATCACTCAGGTTTGCCCCAGCCTAATCGTGGGAACTCATAGGTTCCACGCAGAAGAAACCCAGGGTCTCGCAGGTCGGAGCAACAACGGGTTAACACGGCCGTGCCCTCCCCAAACTCCTCGCGGGTTGCGCTCTGCTCCCTCACCCAGGCGTGTTGCTGCAAGAAGGGTCTTGAACACGGGAGGGAGAAATGCGGGTGTTCACAGCACTTGCACCGACAGGACCAAAACCAGCCCCAGGAGGTGGGGTGGGATTTTGGGGGGAGATGAGCCGCACGCCGGCGGGATCTGGGTGCTTAATTCCCCCGGCCTCTCTCCAGCCGGTAATTTAGCAGCGTTTCAGAGCGCGATGGCGAAGTTGCGGGAAGCCGTTGGGTTCAGTAGTCGAGTTCTTTGCACGGACAGTCCTGTGCGAGCGAGCGTGCGCACGTGTGTGTGTGAGAGTAGGTGTGTATCTGCGCAGGAAGGAAAGACGGGTCTTGCGGTTGAGTGCTACGTGTCGAGAGACGTCGGGTAGCTCCGTTCCCAGCGCGGGCACGCGCCAGCCCTGCTCTTGGATACGCGTTTATCCTCTCCGTGCCGTCGCAGCCTCCCTGGCTGAGCCGGGGCAGCTGCTCCCCGTCTGCGCGGATGCTGGCTGGGATGCGGGATGCGGTTCCCGCAGGCAGAGCTGAGCTGAGCCCGTCGGGGTGGCCAAGCCCCGCTGGGGGCAGGCGGGTGGGAGCCACTGAGCTCTGTCCTGGTGCTTTTTGGCACCTCTGCTCGGCTCCTGGCCCTGTTGCAGAGGGAGAGGAGCGGTTTGCTGAGCGGAGCTCGGTCCCCTGAGGCTGCCCACTACAGCAAAGCCCTGGGGGAGCGGGGAGGAGGAGGCACGGGGACCGGCGAGTGGTTTAAATATGTGTCGGGGGGGACCGGCATCCCCCCCCCCCCCCGCGGGGGGGCGGG